AGCAACTGAGGTGATCTGAGTGTGGCCAGCTCTTTGGGCAGAGGGGACAGAGCGGTGACACCAACGTGGGTGGGAGAGGGCAAGCGGCGAGGCCACAGCAGCCTGCGAGGTGCTGGCTTGTGAGACACACGTGGTTCCACCTGGAGCCAGCCTGCGCTGCTTCACTGGAGCAGGGCAACTGCCTGCCCCCAGCATCTTTCCGGGGGATTGGCAGTGGAGGGGACGTGGAGCCGGAGCCAGCCCCTCTCCGGCGCTTGGTCTGGTGACAGCACGGGGACGCCGAGGTCCAGCCCAGTGCTGTGGCCTTGGCTCTGGCCCACCCTCTTCCCTCCCCTGCAGGGCCGCAAGCAGCGGTGTCAACCGGTCCCCCTGCCCCGGCAGGACGGAGCCCAGCGGGTCTGTCTTGCTCCCCCTGGCACGAGTGGCAGCAGCCCCTCGGTGGCCTGCAGCAGGGAAGGGTGCCTTCAGGGCTCCCTGGGACTGGCAGCCTCTGGCCTCAGCGGTGGTCTGTTTTCTCCATGAGCTGCAGAGCTCCACCACATGCAGCGGCTGCCCCCGACATGCCTGGGCCGTGCCTGGGAGCTGAGTGCGGTTCCAGATGCAACACAAATGATAGCGAAGGGGAAAAGCTGGGGGAAAGTGCTCCCACTGCTCCCAGGCTCTGGTCCCACACCTTGCTTAGTGAGCAGCCCAGCTGGCTCCCATCTTGCTCCTGCTCCTCAGGACAGTCCAGGGCATGGCACAGCCCTCCCCCTGGGAATCCTGCCCTTATCCCTGGGCTGGGTGCTTGTCGGACCCTTCCCGCTGCCTTCATGTCCACAGTCCTCTGGCGGATGCTGCTGGGGGAGGTGATGTTAAGGAGCAGCACACTGTGGGCTCTGGGGAGGCAGGGCTGGGCAGTGCCTTGGTGCCAGGGGGGTCAGTGCCGCAGGGCTGCTGCTGAAGCAAGACCTGGCCCCGCTTGCCAGCGGGACCCCCAACCCCCAAAAGTCTCGCCTCTCATGCCCAGTGCTGTTCCAGCTTGGTAATGTGGTTTGTTCCCAATCCACCAGCTACTCTGGACATCCCCACCTGCCGCAATGGACAGTCTGATGCTGCTCCTGTGCCTCTGCCTTGGCCAGGGTGCCTGGGGGGGGCTGTGGGATGCTAGAGGTGTCTCCTCTGACTGGTGCAGCAGGGAGCAAGACTTCCCTGTGCCCTTGTACCCTGCCAGCCCTGGCTGATATGAGGGGCAGGGGGATGTGGGTTCCTCTCCTCCTTCACCCCTGGTGCCACAAGCAGCAGTGGGGTGTGGGCACAGGGTGTGGCTGTGACCCGGCTCCCCCTTGGCCCAGCCCTTTGCATTGGATGAGGAGTCACCGGTTACCTCCAATGTGAGGGCAGGACCCTTCCTCTTGCCGAAGCGCCTGGCAGAGCTGTGAGGTCCCTCTGCCTCGCCTCTTGGGGGGCTGGGGGCCAGCAGGTGACAGATGCCATGGTGAGGGGCGTGAGCCTGGGGACTGTGGGCAAGCAGCTGTGTCCCTTTCCCCAGCCCCAGGGTGCGGGGGCAGGGGCTGACACCTTGGCACAGCAGTGGGAGCTGGGCAGAGCCTGGAGCTGCAGCTGCCCGTGCTGCTGAGCAAGGGGGCTGTGTCTGTGCTGGAGGCCGAGCTCCGGTGCTGCCTGCAGCTGGCACGGCTGTAGCCTGGGTCTCCATCTGCCCAGGGGGCTGCGTTGGGGTGTGGGGAGTCCTCCCCCTGCCCCTGTGCTGGCAGGCAGTGCTGAGGAATGAGGATCCACAGCCAGGGCTGTCCTTTCACTCTCTATCACTGACCTGCTCTGGGGCTCTGATGTGGGGGGTCTGTACCTGCACATCCCTGGCTGCCCTGTGGCTGCTGTCCTGCCTGACCAGGCTGGGATGTGCCACAGCATCCTGACATAGCTCCTGAACGTGTTCTCCTCTGCCATCTCCCGCGGGACTGTGTCCTCCCTGCAGGGATGCAGCATCCTCATGGCAAGGCCCTCACGGGGGATACAGGGGCTGTGTGGGTCTTTCCAGCCCCAATGCCTGGGGGGCGGCGGTGCTCTTGAAGGTGCTGGGACAGTGGAGGAGCCTCAAGGACATTCGGCATCATCGGGCTTACCAACAACAGGCCTGGAGAAATGTGCCAGCAGCTCTGGGCAGGCTGCCCAGCTGCCCAGGCTCATGATGGGGCCTAGCAAGGCAGCGTTTCCCCATCAGTGGCCTGGCCCCACGGTGGCAGGGCAGGCAGGAGCACACAGGATCTGGCAGAGCCCCCCTGGCTGCAGCCAGACCCTGCAGGGCTCCTGCCGGCAGTGCTGCCTGCTTGGCTGCTGGAGCAGCTCAGGGTCTCCTGCAGAGCTGGGGACATCCCTGCTACCCCCTTCCCCCAAAGCGCTGCCTCTTGTGCTGCTGGGTCTGCTCGAAGTCCCACTGCAGTTGCCCCAGCTCCTGCAGCTGGGAGAGGGTGTTCTTGGCCTCGAGCAGGGTGCAATGCAGCTGATAGTTTTTGCCGTGGGGTGAGACAGGTCCTGGCTGGGGCACAGCCCGGTGCACCAGGGAGCCCTGGGGCTGCAAGGATCCCTGCCCGGGCCTACCTGGGCGATGTCCCCAAGCTGGCACTGCAGCCACCCATGGACGGGCCCTGAGCGAGTCCCTGCATCTCCTGGGGAGGGTGAGGTGCGAGCACAGCCTCAGGATGCGCCAGTCGGGGACCCCGCGGTGGCTCCACTGCCACACAAGGACCGGGCCAGACCCTGGCTGCCATGGTAGGATGCGAAGGGATGGGACAGGAGCCACTGGAGCCAGGGCTGGGCATGATGCCCACAGGACCCCAGGGCCTGGCAATGTCCCCAGTGCCCTGGGGCTCCTGTCCCTGCACTGGCTGGGTCAAGCCAGTGCCCTGATGGCTCACAGGCACCTTTAGAGCTGGTGCCCCCAGCATGGCATCGAGCTGGAGCCATCCCTGTGTCCTGGGGTGGGAGAGGGGGCAGCTCCTCCAGATGCTCAGCTGGGGGCACTAGCCATGGGGTGAACGCCCTCCTGGAGCCCCAGACCCCAGGCCGGCGCTCCCTGCTCTGCCATCTCCCCAGCAGAGTTGCCCTGACAGAACCCTTGGCTGTGGCTGCTGCCTGGGTGAGGCTGGTTCTGGGGTGCTGCAGGCACCTCCATGCCCACCCCCATGGCTGCAGCCTGCATGAGGGTGGATGGCACAGGCTCAGCTCAGAGTTTTATATAAAAATGTATTTAAGGAGCTATTTACAGTGAGCACACCGTCGGCGAGTGAGCAGAGACACGGAGGCAGCCAGGACAGAGCCCTGCTGCCAGGCTGGCAGCCGGCACGCAGCGGGAGCTGCCTCCCTGCTCGGGAGCAGGCAGGGCCGAGCACCCCCCACCCCGGCTCGATCTGGCCAGCCCCTCGGGTGGCCCCAGCTCAGCACAAGATCCGTGTCCCTGGGAGCACCCACCTCCCGGGTCCCCCTTGGGCCCTCCAGGATGCCGCCATCTCCTAGGACAGGGTGTCAGGGGAGGCCAGTGGGACCCAGTGGGGCCAGGGCACAGGCACCAGGCATGGCTGGTACCAGCCCCGGCTGCTGCGGTGTGCAGGGCCGGGCACAGTCTGTCTTGTCAGGGACTATGTGGAGACGCTGATGCGCTGCGGGGTGCGTCGCCGGCGCAGGACGCGTGGGACAGGGCTGCTGCGCCGGTGCGGGGGGGAGCTGCGGAGGCAGAGGGGGCTCAGCAGCATCCACAGGTAGAGCAGGACGCAGGCCCAGCACGAGGACACCTTCACCCAGAAGGTTGCCCAGCTGCCATGCGTGAAGGTGGTCTCCAGCACCGCATTCTCGTAGCTGGTGGGAGAGGACAGGCGTTGGGTGCCCGAGGGATGCTGGTACAGGGGATCCCAGCACCAGCAGCCAGGTCACCCCGTGTCCCAGCAGTTGCACTGTGTCCGTGGGCACATCCCACCTGCCGTGGAGCACCCCTCCGGCCCCACAGACCCCAGCCCATCTCGCTGCAGCGCACAGCTGCCGTTGGTGGGGGCTGTTGGTCAAAGCGGTGTGGGTCTGCGGGTGCAGGCGCCAGCCCAGTGATGCTGGCATGGCCCGGAGCAGAGCACCAGTGAGGAGCGCTCCCGAGTGAGGAGCAGTTCAGAGCTGGCGGGGTGATGATGCTGGGAGAGTGACAATGCTGGTGGAGCTGCAGTCCAGGCTGGGAGGCTGCACTATTGAGTGGGAAGGGGAGCAAGAGCGAGGTGGGCTGGGCAGCAGTGCAGGGCCCTCCCTACCTGAACCAGTTGGTGAGGGTCATCATGACGTAGAGCGAGGCGAGGAAGAATACAAAGTGGAAGGCTGAGTAGCTGTAGACCACTCGGTCTCGCTCATCCTGGATGATGCACTGTCCCCCTGCAGTCTCCTCCACTTGCTCACACGTCAGCTCGCCACCTGGGAGAGCACCGGGGCACAGCAGCTCCTGCACCCCCTCCTCACTGGTTGGAACACCCCCCGAGGGCAGGTCACCTGGCACCCACCCTGCACCCACCTCTCAACTCCTCCTCCATCTTGTCGGGGCAGCAGAAGCAACAGGAGGGTTTCTGCAGGGAGAGAGCAGTGTGGCGGCAACTGCTGTTAGGACAGTGTAGCCTGGCCCCATGGCCACTGCCACTGGGCTGAGCCCTGCCACACAGGGTCTGGCCCTGCCTCTGAGGACCTGGTGCAGGGGGGCCCTGGGAAGCCCCCCCATGCTTGGCTGGACACGGGGCTGGGATGGGGGTTTGGGGTGGCAGGTCTGGGGTGCCCATGGCAGGAGGACACAGGGGTCCAGCTGGCGGCGGGCAGCATCCACACTCACTTTAAACTCGAAGCTGTAGACTTTGACCATCCATAGGGGCCCAAAGACCTCGGCAAGGTAGGAAGCTTCATTACTGTGCCCGGGAGAGAGGCAGAAATCGTGATACAGGCACCCACTGCCCTGTGCCAGGCCCCCAGCCCGCCCTATGGATCCAGCGTGGCCACAGAAGACAGGCAGTGACATGCCTGGGGTCACCATGCTGCCCCTGCCCACACGCAGATGCCCTTCCTGCTCTGGCCCTGCCACTCCTCGGGATGTCCCCTGGCTCCTCTGGCCGTGCCACATGCCAGGGACAGGGTCCCCGCACAGTGCCGGCCGTGCCGGAAGGGATGGTGCTGTGGGCACACGCACCATGCGAAGAGCACGCAGGTGTACATGATGGTGGCCCCCAGGACAGCAACAGTGGTGTCCTCCGTCTGCAGCTCGTCCTGCCGCATGCTGGGGAAGCAGATGGTGATGTTCTGCCCCTTGAAGAGCACTGCAGGGAGGCAGAGGTGAGATGGGTGCATGCCCCAGGAGGGGGTCTGCTGGTGGCAGGGGGGTGCACCCACCTCTTTCGGGGGGACGGCTGGACAGCGCAGAGAAGGTGAGGTACATCACATAGCAACTGATGATTGAGGACTGCAGCAGCCCTGACCGTGGCTGCTCTGCAAGGGTGGAGGGCAGAGCTGTCACCAGGGCCCCCACAGTGCCACGAGCTGGTGGATGGGCTCTGCATGGGCCCCTGCAGCCCCCCCCAGGCACCCTGGCCAAGGCAGAGGCACAGGAGCAGCATCAGACTGTCCATTGCGGCAGGTGGGGATGTCCAGAGTAGCTGGTGGATTGGGAACAAACCACATTACCAAGCTGGAACAGCACTGGGCATGAGAGGCGAGACTTTTGGGGGTTGGGGGTCCCGCTGGCAAGCGGGGCCAGGTCTTGCTTCAGCAGCAGCCCTGCGGCACTGACCCCCCTGGCACCAAGGCACTGCCCAGCCCTGCCTCCCCAGAGCCCACAGTGTGCTGCTCCTTAACATCACCTCCCCCAGCAGCATCCGCCAGAGGACTGTGGACATGAAGGCAGCGGGAAGGGTCCGACAAGCACCCAGCCCAGGGATAAGGGCAGGATTCCCAGGGGGAGGGCTGTGCCATGCCCTGGACTGTCCTGAGGAGCAGGAGCAAGATGGGAGCCAGCTGGGCTGCTCACTAAGCAAGGTGTGGGACCAGAGCCTGGGAGCAGTGGGAGCACTTTCCCCCAGCTTTTCCCCTTCGCTATCATTTGTGTTGCATCTG